GGGGGCCTTTGTTTTTGGCATATGAAAAGAAATATTTCTAATTCTTTCAATTCCACTAATCGCTTTTAGCTCTTCTTGTCTTTCCTGGATCCTGTATGACTCCTTTAACTTTAGCTCAATATTTTCCACTTCCCTCGTTAGCGGCTTCCTTTTGTGTTTCAGATAACCTAGCTTTCTTCAGGAGCTCAGTGATTCTACGTCTTCTCCTGTAGAGGGAGCGTCTCTCTCCAGTTTACTTCTTCTCTTTTTTCTTAGGGGAATATGCCTTGACCTTTTTACGCCCGCAACTTATCCTGGGCAACTATGGGCCATGGAGCAACAAAAGAAGAGCGATAAGCAGGAAACACAGAAACAAAGGTCAAAGTTAAAGCTGCTGTGGTCATGATGGCTGCTTCTTGCTGCTGCTGTGGTCATGATGGCTGCTTCTTGCTGCTGCTGTTACTGCTTCCGAGGGTAACAAGAATGGTGAATAGACGAGGGGAGGGAGATTGAGAGAGAGAGAGAGAGAGAGAGAGAGAGAAGAGAGAGAGAGAGAGAGAGAGAGAGAGAGAGAGAGAGAGAGAGAGAGAGAGAGGCTGTAGGCCCAGATAAGTTGTGTCCAAGATTGCTGAGTAAATGTGCAGACCAGCTAGCAGCACCTCTAACTCGCATGTATCACCACTGCCTAGCAGTGTAAAGGACCTCTCTGTTTTAAAGAGGCAAATGTAGTCCCTGTTCACAAATAGAAGAGCAGAACGGAAATCAGCTAACTAAAGACCAGTATCACTCCTGTCAATCACTGGCAAAATTCTTAAACAATAATCTCAAGGCAGATAACAGCTCTTTTCGATTACCACTCTGTGACCTTCAATATGGCTTCATTTAAGGTCACTCTGCTTCTGATCTGCTGTTGAACCTCTCCACTAGGTGGTACTAGTCACTGGATGAATCCAAAAACAGCTGTGTAGTAGCACTGTACATTGCCTGTGCTTTCGACCGAGTATGGCACTGGAGACTCTTGGCAAAACTACAAGCAATAGGAGTCGCCGGCTCTGCACTACGTCTCCTCAGTGATTACCTTCAAGGTAGATCTCTAAAGTAGTTTTTAATGGGACAGGGTCAACAAGACACACTATTGGTACAAGTGCTCCACAAGGAAGTGTGCTTAAGCCATGTTATGGAATGTCTACTTCAATTACCTTTTTCAACTCATCCCAGAATCTCATGCATATGCAGACGACTGTATTCGGACATTTACTTACCCAAGAGAGGAAATGCTGATCTAAGTTACACCATTACCAGCTTACAGCTGTGTTAGCCTGGGAAAACGATGGCAGGTCACATTTGCTCCTGAGAAAACACAATTGATGACGGTCTCTAGGCACTATGATGGTAATGCTGGAACAGTGGTAAGAATGAATGGAAGTGTGTTGGTACCCGGGATGAAGTTGATATCTTTGGGGTGAAATTTAACTCCATATTGACTATGAGGAACCACGTTGTAAATCTTGCGAACAAAGCAGCCAGGAAGCTTACAGCACTTAGACGTATCTCGCATCTGCTTGACAGCAGAGGTTGCAAGATTCTGTAGGAGACAAAAGTATGCTCACACCTTAACTAAGCTCCACTTTCTTGGTTTGCCTGCCCCCCATCTCATCTGCGACTTCTTGGCAGAATAGGGAACAGAGCAAGACGACTCGTCTCTCACCTGGACGAATCTGTCATTCCAGCAGAGTCTTCAACACAGGAGGCATGGGTTGGCCTTACTGTTATGTACAAGACCAACATTGTCAAGTACCACTACACTTTACTCCAATCCGAGGACAGGGAAAAGTGAGCTATACAAGTCGGGCAACGAAACAACATCCACACTCCAAAACATCGCTTCATCTGAGATCATCTATTCCTAGGATGACTCGTGTCTGGAACATGTTCGTATAGCAAAACGACATCAATCCAAAATGTATTATATTTTCCTGCAGCAATTAATTAATTTTTCCTCGACAAAAAACCCAACTCACCCCTTTTTCCCTTATTTAATTAGTGAAAAAACTAAACCCTTAAATGGGGTATCTGAAAAGGGGGTAAAACCCCAACTCTTCAGTAGGGCAATGAGGATATCGTAAATATTTCAGCCAGGGATCACACTACTGGGGAAGTGGTGGGAGGGAAAAGAAAGGGGCAGTGGAGGGGCGGGATAATGGGGGGAGGTTTAGGGGGGGTATCGAGGGGGTGAGTTGTTGGAGATAGGGGGAGGGAATAGAGGTAGTAGTGGTGGGGGGGGCGGGGAACAATAGTGGTGAGAAGAGGGGGAAAATGGGGGAGGGAAGAACAAGAGCAGGATGGCGGGGGGGGGTTGTGGTGTGGGTGGGAGAGGTAAGTAGAGTGGTGGGAGGGGGTAGCACGGGTGGGAGGGGGGGTTTTAGTAACCCAGGAAAAGCCCAAAAAAGTCAGGAAAGCATCGCCTGCTGGCTTAGTCCATTCCCAAATAAGCAACTGGTGTGAGTGCCACCAAAAACCGTTCAGGCTAATATCCAGGACCTACACGCTGGGTGAACAAGGCAGCGGGTAAGGAAACATACCCAATCTTCCACTCTTTCCAAAAGTTCGAACCCCGGCCTTCAGCGTGTGGCTGAACCGCAAACGATGTGAGCCACGCAGAAAAAAATTAGTGATGGTGGGAATAAAGTGAGGGTGGGAAAGAGGTGGGGGGGAGGGGGGGATAGTGGCGGGGTGGGGAGGAATTTTGTGGGGGACGGGGAAGGGGTTGTGGGTGTAGGGGCGGGATATGGTTGGTTGGGGGGCAGGGTATTGGTTGGGGTTGAGGGCAGGGATAGGGGTTGGGGTGGGGGGGCGGATGGGTTGTGGGGCGGGGTAGTGGTTGTGGGGGAGGGGAGGGAATGGTTGTTGGAAGGGATAGGGGTTGTGGTGGAGGGACAGGGGAAGTGGTTTGTTGGGGAAGGAAAGTGGTTTGGGGAGGGGGGCAGGGATGGGGTTTGTGGTGATGGACAGGATAGTGGTTTTGTGGTGAGGGGGCGGGATAGGGTTTGGGGTGGAGGAATGGGAAATGGGTTTGTGGGTGAGGGGGCAGGGATAGTGGTTGGGGTGTGAGGGACGGGGGTAGGGTTGTGGTGTGAGGGGGCGGGATAGGTCGTGTGAGGGGGGATATGGTTGGGGTGTGGGGACGGGGAAGGGGTTTGGGGGTGTGGGGGGCGGGGATAGTGGTTGGGGTTGAGGGGGCGGGGATAGGGGTCGTGTGAGGGGCAGGGGGGGTTGTGGTGTGGGGGACGGGGGGATAGTGGTTGTGGTGTGGGGGCGGGGTAGTGGTTGTGGTGGAGGGGGCGGGGATAGAGTTTGGGTGAGGGGGCAGGGATAGTGGTTTGGTGTGGGGGCAGGGATAGGGGGTTGGGTGGAGGGGCGGGGATGGGTTGGGGTGTGGGGGGCAGGGTAGGGGTGTGGTGGGGAGAGGGAAAGGGTTTGTGGTGTGGGGGGCGGGAATGGTTGTGGTGGAGGGGGAGGGATAGGGTTTGGGTGGAGGGGCGGGGATAGTGGTTGGGGTTGAGGGGCGGGTAGGGTTTGGTGTGGGGGGGCAGGGATATATTGTGGTGGAGGGGGCAGGGATAGTGGTTGGGGGGTTGGGGGGCAGGGATAGTGGTTGTGTAGGGGGCGGGAATAGTGGTTGTGGGGGGAGGGGGCAGGGATAGGGGTTGGGGGTGGGGGGGCGGGATAGTGTTTATGGTGTAGGGCGGGATAGGGTTGTAGTTGGGGGGGCAGGGATAGTGGTTTGTGTGGAGGCAGGGATAGTGGTTTGGTGAGGGGGGGGGGAAAAGGGGGTTGTGGTGGAGGGCAGGGATAGGGGTTTTGGGGTTGGGGGGGGCAGGGATGGGTTTGTTGTGAGGGGCGGGATGTGGTTGTGGTGTGGGGGGCGGGGATAGTGGTTGTTGGGGGGCAGGAAAGGGGTTGGGGGGTTTGGGGGCAGGGTAAGGTTGGGTGTGAGGGGGCGGGGATAGTGTTTTTTGTGTGGGGGGCAGGGTTTGTGGTTGTAGGTGGGGGGGGCGGGGATATGGTTGGGTGTGAGGGGCAGGGATAGTGGTTGTGGTGTGAGGGGCAGGTTTTGTGGTTGTGGTGTAGGGGCAGGGATGTGGTTGTGGTGTGGGGGGGCAGGAAGGGGGTGTAGGGGCGGGGATAGTGGTGAGGGGGGGGGCAGGGATAGGGTTTGTGGGTGTAAAGGGCGGGGAAGGGGTTTTGGGTGTGGGGGCAGGGATAGTAGGGGTTGTGAGGGGGAGGGATAGTGGGTGTGGGGGGGCAGGAATAGTGGTTGTGGTGTGAGGACAGGATAGG